ATCAAAACTGATCTTAACCATCCTATATATATTCAAAAACATCTCAAACCCTTGTTTATAATAATACGAATTAAAGTAACCATTAAAACAGTACCAAATCTGTAAGCTTAAAATAGACGACAAACACAAGTCAATCAAGAATTGTTTTAGACAACCATACACATACTGATAATCAGTTGGACATATAATGCACATGCCAGATCATATTAATATTCAATTAAAATACTAGAGACATCTAGGCATGCACAGAACACAGGCCAACCGGGAGAGAGGAAGAACAGAACTTACCTCTGTGGTCTTTGAATAAAAACCTTGTCGCCGTCTTCTAAGGTTTTCCGACGACGTCCAATTCATTATCAATCTCCTATTGTACAACCTTCCCTCCTCCTAGGCCCATCCTTTAATCCGCAGTAGAAACCCTAACAACAAATCCCTCTGTTTTCCTTACAGTTTTCTCTCTCTGTTTTCACGTCCCTCTATATGCTCACTGTTCGTGAATAGGGTTGGTGCTTTTAACTCTAAGCAGATTTATAACAGTATATATAGGCATATATACCCTGCGTCTATTTACATTAGAGATGGACACCCAACTAAACCCTAATCAGCCCAATAACATGGTCCATCAAACTAAAACCCTAATTTACATTAAAATGAAATACATTAATAATTTAACCTAACAGAACATTTAAAAATTTACAACTAATTTAATTAAATAAAAGAACATAAAAAAAAAAAAACAATTAACCAATTAATGAAAATAATTAGACAAAAACAAAATAATCAATTACACAACCAATCCAAGTAAAGAAAACAATTAACCAATTAAACACAAAACAGAAACCACATAACACATATAGTCACGTAAGCACCTAAAATGCACAAAAATAAAAAATGTAAATTCCAATTATATCCTTTACAAAATTAGGAGTATTACAGTTGAGGAGAGGTGGCAACGTCGGATGTGTTTGAGGATAGGTGGTGATGGCTGTGATTGAGGAGATAGTGGTGACGGGTGGAGAGAAAAATTAAATGCTAGGAGTAGTTCAATGGTTGAATAGGTTAGGTGAGAATGGTAGAAGGGCAAAAGTGTCATTTTAACATTATGATATTTTACAATTAAAATTAGTTAAATATTGACGGGTAATTTTTTCTTTTCAAACCTTTTAAGGGCCTGTTTGGATCAAAATTTTGTCAAGGGGTGTCTTTGTCTAAAAAAAGGTCCAACTTGTATATGAGTGTCATTATGGTTAACCTTAGAGGGTATTGTTATAATAAACCCTTTAATTAAAGAAAAACTGAGATGTTTCACCTATAAAAAGATATTAAAAAAAAAAAAATTTAAAATGGCTAAAATCATAAACCTCCGCTATTTTCAAATTCTTATCATAAAACTCCAACATGTTTCAGAAAACCCCTATATTTTAAAAAAGTGATCATATTGCCCTAATATACGTGACCGGTTAACCAGGTTATGAAATAACAAATTTAACCCTACTATTTATTGTTAAATTAAAAAGTAAAAATTATTTTTAAAATTACAAAAATACACTTTAATTAAAAAAATTATGCCCTCTATCGCTCCAAACTCTCATCCATTTCTCTCTAAAACATAATTTATGTAATTTTAAAAGGTATTTTTGTAATTTTAAAAAATAATTTTTAATTTTTTAATTTAACATTAAATAGTAAGATTAAATGTATCATTTCATAGTCTGATTAACGGGTCAGATATAGATATTGGGGTAATGTAATCACTTTTTAAAAGTGTAGGAAATTTTTAAAACGTATGGAAGTTTTATTATTAAAATTTATTGACTTCCTACTTAGGAAAACCCCGCAGACAACTGAGACTCCGTAAATGTCATGGTTATTTCATCATGGCCCATTTCTTTGTGCATGTTCATTTTGTAAATAAAGTTTTTCTTCGCATAAAAAATTTAAAAATATATTTTTTGCATTTGGTCGATAATAATATATATATATATATATATATATATATATATATATATATATATAAAGATTATTTCTAAATTTTCTTAATGTTTGATTTACATACTTGAGAATAGTTTATATATATATATATATATATATAAGATTATTTCTAAATTTTCTTAATGTTTGATTTACATACTTGAGAATAGTTTTTAGAAGAGTATTTTTCAAATTGAAAGCTTTTTTATTACTCAGTTTTATTATAATAATTTGTATAATACTACAATTAAATTAATCCTGAAATTGTTTTTATGTTTTTATTAAGTCTGAAAATTGGATCTTATCAAAAAATTGAACGAAGCAAACTCTACAATATATATATTTTGTTTTTATTTAAAATTTATGATATACAAAGTTTAGTTTTTCTGAAAGTGAGAAAATTTTAAAATAATTGAAAAAATGATTTGATTTTTTTGGAAAAAAGTTCCATAACAAGTTAAAAATAAAAAATTTAAATGCTTAGAATATTCTATTTGGTACCCAGCCTTTTAAAAAGCACCATAGTCCACTTGAATGAGCAAGTCCACTTGGTAAAAAGAAAACTTAGCCTATTTTCTTTTTAAATATATTAACAACTGAGGCTTTTTTAGTAAATTCTCCGAAATGCCCTGCAAAGAGATTCCCTCGCTATATCCCTCCCTTTTCTTTTATTTTTCGAATTCCATCAATACAGACCTTTTTCTTAAATTTATTTCCACTTTTTCTTAAACCTTTTGCTTAAATTGTACGGAATCAATGGCCCCACTACAACTTCAAATACAATGAATGCCCCTTTTCTATTAGCAAAATAACTCTTACGCTAAATAATTACAGTGAATTACTGAATTTATACTTTTAATTGATTAATTATGTAAAATAAATAAAAAAAAGTGGAGTCATCCACTTAATTGTATTTGATATAAATAATTTATTAAAAATTATTTGATTAGACAATTCTCTAAAAATATTTAGTATATGTATCACTACTTTTCCTTTTATGTTTCTAGTTCCATTAACATTTACTATGGCCGGAGCCCATTCAGTGAAACATTATTATAATCCCCAAATAAATCCATATTCACAGTTGAGCATAAAGCGTTACAATTTACTGACATGTCGAACCATAGTTCCCTTCATCGCGAAGCTTGCTTTCCGATAAGCGAGTTCATTCGCATTCCTACGTAAGGGAGTGTGGTAAAATCACCTTTGCGTTTCTGCTTTGTAATTTTTATTTATTTGTAAGTAGTCATTACCTCGTTGGTTTATAAAGAATACGGAGTAATTGACAATTTGTCCCCTTAAATTCTCTTTACTACTTTATCCTTTATTGGGTTTAGTACATAGGAGATGCTAATATGTTATTGCACTTTAATTTTGTGATCTAATTTTTTCATTTGATATGTTTTTTTAAATAAAAACAATCCATTTATTATTTTAATTTAGGAGGGTTTATGCGAATTATGAAAATATATATATATTTTTTCGAATTAGGTAATTGTCTTAATGTGAACGATTATTGTTCATTTGAAGAGAAATTGGCTAGATATTGCAAGATTCTTAGCACCAAAAGTGCTTTTATTTTATGCATGAAATTTTTTTATATTTTATTTTGGAGTAATAATCATATTATTTTTATATTAAGAAAATTAGGTGCATCGGAAGATTAGTTTTTCGAATTAATGAGTATAATTATTGTTTTTTCTTGTTGGCAAAAAACTCACATTCATTTAAAGAATTTTAACTATAACCTCTTATTTTGGGTTTGGGACTTAGAGAAAATACTAGACTCCTCAATAAAATAATAATTTTTGCACTGTCAATGGATTGAATTTTGATCTCTGAAATTACAATTTAGTGGTGCAAAATAAAATCCCTCAAGAATTTAAGTTGAGGTGTGTGAGTGTTTTTTTTTTTTTTTTTTTTTTTTTTTGACAAAGTAAAACCATAAATAAAATAGAATGAATTTTGATTCAAATGCAATTCAAATTCAATATGATAAATCATATATAGATTAAACATTTAATCCGATAGTATATTAATTAAACAAATTAAATATAAATTATAATAGATATGATTGGAAAATAATTCAAGCTGACATAATATAATATATAATATAGTACAAATATATTATCTAGCTTTATAATATATACAATTCACATAGTATTAAATTGTTTTAAGCATTTTTTAATCTTTATTCTCCCCCCTATTTTTTATTTTTAACAAAGTCAAATACCTAAACTTTCTTCTCAATTTTATTTTAGTTAATTTTTCGTTGTCTTAACCGGTAATTTCTCTTTCTTTTTCATCATTATCATTTCTTTTGACACTATTTTTTTTTTACAGTTTTTTATTATTTAAAGATTAAATTATTAAATCTAATATTCATTTAATAAATCATATAAGAATTAATTTGTATAAATAATATGTATGTTTAGTCCAAATTCCATCAGTTGGAGATCTATTAATCAGATATATAATTGTGAATAAACAGTTACCTGACTTTGGAAGAGAAAGCGACAAAGGGTCAATAAGTAAATAACAAAATTGCAGATAGGTCCTTTTTACTTTTTAGTTTATAGTTTTAGAAAACTATATAAATTTGAATAGACAATTACCTGACTTAGGAAAAAACAAGGTTGAATACGTGAAATGTTTGGATATTAAAATGGCAAATTAGGGGCACAATTGTTATAACAATTAACAATACTGATATTCCCGCCAATTATCCCATCCTTGCTAATAATTACTCCCTCCGCTTTAGTGTAAGTGTCATTCACAAAGAGTTGTAATTTTTAAGAGAAAATGTGAGATCATGTATTATTTGTTTAAAAAATTACTATATTATTCTTTTAAGTTTAAAATATTAAAATTTGAAATTTAAACTGAAATGATATTTTTTGAATGATGTATATTATTTAAAAAAGTAAGATGAACACTTATTTTGAGGGGAACAAAAAACGAAAAAATGACACATATTTTGTGACAGAAAGTACTAATTTGTTATCATCATTACTATGTACGCCTTTCATTTTTCCAATTTCATTTATCCAACTTTGTCACATACACAGAGTACAAATCTATCAACTTTGCTGTGGATTTTCATCTCTCTCTTAAGGCTGTACAAATTCGCTCTCAGTGACGACAATGTCTGGCCGTGGCAGAGGTCGTGGTGGCCGACGAGGCCAGCAACATCGGCGGTATCAATCGGGGCGCGGCGGAGGAAGAGGCCGAGCTGGCGGCGGATCATACGGCTCTCAGGCGCCGGCTAGAAATCCACAGGCTGCTTCGCATTCCCGTCCAGCATTCTCACAACCGGACCCCCAAATGCCATCTTCTTCGGCATCCATGCCGTCGGCGGCGGAACCTCTCGGCCGCGATTTCGGGGCAAAAATCACGTTTGGATCTGCGGCGCCGATTCAGGATTCCAACTCCTGTACAACCACCGATTCAGGCTCCGAATCCGGTACAACCACCGATCCAGGCTCCGACTCCGGTACATTGTGGGTACCGGCGGCTGCGCCGCCGGCTTCTTCCAAGGCTCTGCGGGTTCAGTTGAGGCCGGGGTGGGGAACGGTCGGTCGCAAATGTGTTGTGAACGCTAATCACTTCCTAGTCGAGGTCGCCGACCCAGATCTTCACCATTATGATGTGAGATAACTATTCACCAGTATGTTTGGCTGGTTTGCATCCTTTTATTGTGGTTAAATTATGAATCTTCTTGATGGTTTAGGTGTCAATCAGTCCTGAGGTTTCTTCAAAGGAAGTATGCAGAGACATAGTGAATACACTGGTTGAATTGTATCGTGAATCACACTTGGGCAAAAGGTGGCCCGCCTATGATGGCCGTAAGAGCTTGTACACAGCAGGGCCGTTGCCCTTCTCTTCAAAGGAATTTTTTGTCAAGCTAGTTGACAAAGATGAGCCGACCAGGTAATTGGCTCTCTTCACATTAATTTTTAATAAAATGAAGCCTCCTGCATGTCATAAACTATCAATTCTTTTTATATTATATTTTTTTTAAGCCATATTCTTCACTTTATTTGAGTTTAATGAAACAATTAATTAATTGCAGGAAAGTCTGGAAAGAACGTGAATTCAAGGTTGCAATTAAATTTGCTGCCAGGGTTGAACTCCAGTTTCTGAAGGAATTCTTAGCTAGCAGGCAACTTGAGGCCCCTCGGGACACTATACAAGCTCTTGACGTGGTCCTGAGAGCAACACCATCAAATATGTAAGTAACACAATTTAAATTTACTTTTCTGTTGATATTATATATATATTGTGTTTAAAGAACAAAGGTCTATATGTGGACGTTAGAAGGATTTTAGGCTTATTCATCAAAGCTTTTTATTCCAGTTATTCAGTTGTTGGAAGGTCTTTCTTTGATCCGAAACTTGGAGGTACTGGGTATCTTGGTGATGGTTTGGAATACTATAAGGGATTCTATCAAAGTCTTCGCCCAACCCAAATGGGTCTCTCCCTTAATATTGGTATAGATTCCCTTAGTTTTCTGTTTTTACCTCTGCACCCTAGAATATATTGCAATCTTTAGGTTATTGACATTCTCTTGTTCTAATCAATGCTTATGTTCAATTGCGTTGGACATGTAATTGTCATGCAGATATTTCAGCAAGAGCATTTTATGAACCTATTCTAGTTTCTGAGTTCGTTGCAAAATATTTCAGCGTGACAGACCTAACAATGCCTCTTTCTGATCAAGACCGTACTAAGGTAGGTTCTTTTATCTAAGGAGCTTCTTCTAAGACAGATTAAACAGGAAACAAAAGTGTTATTATCAGTTGCTAATACCTAATACCACCCTCGATATCAAAATTAGCTTCTTTTTTTTCCTTCCTAATTTTGACATGGAAGGTATATAAGAATACGACATTATATTTTATTTAATTATGTGCATATCTAGTCTAAGTTATCTTGAATAGTTTTCAGGTCAATGCCATCTGATTACTATTTTTTTTCAGTATTTTCTTAGTTCAGGGCAAACTCTGGTTTTCTCTTTTCCCAATTCGTACCATATGTGTTTCTATATTTTGTTTGTGGCTTGTAGGTTAAGCGAGCTCTGAAGGGTGTTAAGGTGGAACTTGATCACAGGCATCATGTGAAGCGTGACAAAATTACAGGCATATCAGCTCAACCAATAAGCCAACTAACGTGAGCTCCTGATTTGTCTCTCTTTCATTCTGGGGCTGCTTTCATGTTTTTAGTGTTATATGGTAGTAGGGACAGCTTCAGAAAGTTTTGAAAAGTTAAAGTTATAATGTTTTAAAATGATCAGAGTATATAATACAAGAGGAGTATGGGATGAGTTGGTGGCTGGGTCAACATTTTTAACATGATCAGAGGATATAATACAAGAGGAGTATGGGATGAGTTGGTGGCTGGGTCAACATATGTTGTTTCCCTGTGCTGTGTTTTGGCTATATGTGAATGTCAAGGTTTTGGAACAATGCTTACCATAAGCGCTTGGAAGTAGTATTAATTGAGACACTGCTTTTAACTCCCAACATACATATGTTTTCACTAGAATGCTAGATTCACATGTTTAACATTTGAAGTCATATATCACTAATTAAATTAATGTACTTCTATTTGTTTCCCTTTGTTAATTCCACTTTTTATTTTCCCCTTCTTAAATAGGTTTCCTCTTGACACCGGAGCAACGGTGTCAGTTGTTCAATATTTCCGCCAGAGATACAATATTGTCCTTAAATATGTGTTCTTGCCTGCTGTTCAAGCTGGCAATGATGCAAAACCTGTTTATCTGCCTATGGAGGTTGCCCTATTTATGTTTGTTTCGTACAATGTCTGCTGTTTGTGTAATTGTCATGTTTGCTAGTTGTTGTCTCTGACCTTTTTATTTCACTATAGATTTGTAAGATTGTCGAAGGACAAAGATATTCAAGAAGGTTGAATGAGAAGCAGGTGAGTGCGTTGCTGAAGGCAAACTGTCAGCGTCCTAATGAAAGGGAAAGAAGTATTAAACAGGTATGAATGAATTTGTTTAATAATCTGTATCACATGTTGCTAAAAGATTCTACTCTTAAATATTTGATGACCTTAATCAATATATTTTTCTCTATTTAGTATTGGCTGGAGTGGTTAAAGCTACTGTAGTGGTAAAGCTTGTAATATGAAGTGTGGGGATGAGGGTTGAGTTTGAGACAGTTGGGTCTGTGCGCGCTATGGTCTTTCCACCCTCAATAAATAAAAGAACTAAATTGGTTCATGGTCATTTTTTTTTAAAAAGGGTGAAATAAGTAAAAGTTGAATTATTGAGTGTGATTATTGCTGTATGTTGCCTATTCCTGCAGATGGTTGCCCATAACAATTACAATAATGACAAGTTTGCAAATGAATTTGGGCTTCGAGTAAGGCCTGAACTTACTTCTATTGATGCACGAGTTCTACCCCCTCCAACGGTAAGTATTATTATTTTTAATTTATGCTGTGCGTAAAAAATCATTTCTCCTTGTGTGTTATTTTATCCTTCACCTCTGGTTTGGTTGTCCAGCTTAAGTATCATGATACTGGGCGTGAGGCCCGGGTCGATCCACAGGTGGGGCAATGGAACATGATTGGCAAGGTGAAGTCTCACTTGTTTGGTGGTTGCTAACTGGTGAAATAAGCTTATAGGGAAAAAATTGGATTCCTTGGACTACAGTTTTTACTAGTTCTACATATCTACTAGTTGATGACATCGAAAAGCATAACTTGAAACAGTCGTTATGCTTCTTACAAATAATGGCTTGGCTTGTTCTTGCCTTTGTTCTTTACCCTTTGTAGTTGTGATTATGTAGAAAATGGTAAATGGTGGCAAGGTAGACTTTTGGACATGTATCAACTTTTCTTCACAAATGAGACCAGATCTGGCATCTAATTTCTGCAATGGCTTGATTTCTATGTGCATCGAGAAGGGGATGGTATGGTTTTAAGTACCTTCGAAGGCTTTTCTTACTCTTAATTGTGCTCCATGTCCTTAATTTACAGAATTTTGACATTCGTGAACCTTTTGTGACAATTTTGCAAGGACTTTGAGAGGACGCCTTTACTTCCCATTCATTCTGCTAATCCTAGTTACATTGAGAAAGCACTCTCTGATATTTACATGAAATCTTCAAGCATGAAGAAACAACTTCAGTTGTTAATTATTATTTTGCCCGATTATTGCGGATCATATGGTTAGTCATAACTTTGAATTTTGTGGAAAGATGTGACTGCCTTTATAAAATGACATTGACTCCCACAGGAAAAATCAAACGCATCTGTGAAACGGAGTTGGGAATAGTTTCACAATGTTGTCAGCCTAAGAATGCATCAAAGCTTAGTAAACAGTATCTTGAAAAACAGTATCTTGAAAACGTGGCACTCAAGATCAATGTGAAGGTTTGTTCTCTATCACGTGTTCTAGTGCTCATCATTTATTCAGTTCAAATTTCGACTTTTTTTAATTTTTATAGTGGATGATAATTTTACTAGGTTGGAGGACGAAACACTGTTTTACTGAATGCTATCCAAGGAAGAATTCCTCTCGTAACTGATCGTCCTACAATTATCTTCGGTGCTGATGTGGCTCATCCTCAGCCAGGGGAAGATTCTATTCCTTCGATAGCTGCGGTATTTTGTCAGCCATACTCACTTATCATTTTCGCATTCCTTCAAGCATTGTATTTATTATGCTAAAAAGGCTGAATATTCATTTTACAGGTGGTTGCTTCTATGGACTGGCCAGAAGTAACGAAATACAGAGGACTGGTCTCTGCACAGCTACATAGGCAAGAGATCATCCAGGATCTCTACAAAACAACTCAAGATCCTACAAAGGGCATAGTCCATGGTGGAATGATCAGGTGGAAAAAAAAAAGCTTTATTTGTTTGATGTTTAATGTTTTTCCTCCTCATATTATTATGGTTTTATGGTTGCTTCTCTCTTCATGCTTGGCAGGGAACTTCTAATTGCATTCAGGAGATCAACGGGTCACAAACCTCATAGAATCATATTCTACAGGTTTATGCGCACTCTTGAATGGTGCAACTTATTAGAATTGATTTATTTACAATTTCTGATTAATTTTTATGACAGAGATGGCGTCAGTGAAGGCCAATTTTCTCAAGTTTTGCTGTACGAAATGGATGCCATCCGAAGGGTACTTGTTTATATGTTCTCCTCTTACCAGGACTTAGTGCCAAATTGGTGTCTCTTTTCAATTCTTTTTTTCTTACCCATGGATTTTATTCTTTCAGGCTTGTGCCTCATTAGAGGAAAATTATCTTCCTCCGGTTACCTTTGTGGTGGTGCAGAAAAGGCACCTTACACGGCTCTTTCCAGTCGATCATTCCGATCGCAATTCAACAGACTGGAGTGGCAATATTTTACCAGGTGCAAAACTTGCTTCTCCTTGTGGTTTATGTCTGTCTTGTCTTTTGTTTTTTTGGGAAACTATAGTCAACATTGGGAACTGTCTTGTGTTTTGTGATATCAGGTACTGTTGTGGAAAGGGTGATCTGCCACCCTACTGAGTTTGATTTCTACCTTTGCAGCCATGCAGGAATTCAGGTAAACTCAATGTGTTGGAAATCCTTGTTATAGATGTACATGTATAAAAAATGGTCGTGTGATAATTGTCATTGTTGTTTGAAAAGGGTACAAGCAGGCCTACACACTACCATGTGTTGTACGATGAAAACCAGTTTACTGCGGATGGCCTTCAGACACTGACAAATAATCTGTGTTACACGTATTTTCTTCCTCTCTGGACTAGTATATATTTCATGCATTGGAAGAACTTTTATTTTTAACTTCAGACTAGTTTGTGATATAATCTGTGAACTATTTTCTTCTTCCAGCTATGCAAGGTGTACGAGATCGGTTTCCGTTGGTCTGTACTTGATCTTTTGAATCCTTTTTCTATTTTATTATCACTGTAACCAATAAAATCTTTTATGCCTTCTGGTCCGAGTATTAATATCAATTTTTGTTACCTATCCAGTGCCTCCTGCTTATTACGCCCGTTTAGCTGCAATTCGCGCTCATTATTATATTGAGGGTGAGACATCAGACACCGCGTCAACAAGCTGTGGTAGGGCCTCATGGGAGAGGGACGTGGATGTCCGGCCACTTCCCGTCATAAAGGACAATGTTAAAGATGTGATGTTTTACTGCTGAATCAGAGTTGGTGCTCTCTATTCAGTAGTATGCTGTGAACATACTAGTTTTTTGAACATTGCTTTTTTGGCTAGTATGCATTGATAGTGGGTGGGTAGAATTTACATTTTCCTGAAGCGGGCGGTGTTTCATTATGCAATGTTTCTGATACAAATCTCATGTAAATTCACACTTGGGTAATCAGTTTTTGTGGCGGGATATAATTGAAATCAGAGGCTTTTGTTTTCCGTCTTTCTTTTTGCATCTTTTTAAGTTCAAAGAAATGGTTACATATTGAAAAGCCCAGCTTTAGTTGTAAATGGGTGATGGAAGAAGTGATGATATTTGGTTGGTTAGTGTTATATTGTCTTTTAATCATTGGTATGTATGTGAAATGTACTTTCATGGTCTATATCTCATTTTGCGTTGGATTTGTTTTGAAATTTTCTTGCATGGTTTGAAATTTCATATTCCTAGCCTAGATTTGCATAATTAAAAAATAAAATAAAAATGTCATTAATCTTTTCGGCATTGATTTTAGTTCTCTTTATTTGTTTAATTGTTTTAGGTTTATGGGCATTTTTATAACAAATCAGTAAAATGTATTGAGGCAGTTTCTCCGTTCATTAGGAAAGAAGTAAATTGGATGGAAGTTTAAATTTATTTCTATCAAAAATTTACTTTCTACTTTCTATATTAAATTAATTTATATCAATCCGGCTCGAACATTTTATACACACTCGTATATAAAGCGTGAGAATTAATAGCTATACAAATAAGCCCAAAATATAAATTATAATAACCATAACAAATTGATAGACATTTACATAAAAATTAAAATAATGGATTTGAAGAGAACGAAACACAGAATGATGAAGTAATTATTAAATCCGAAATATGTTATATATATATATAAGTATACCTGAGGTGGCCTGGTGAGACGGAAATGGGTTGTGATGAAATCAGGTGGTGCTAGCTGTGGAAGAAGTGTTACATTTTTTTAAATTAAAAATTAATAATAATAATTATTCCCTCACACACGCTTTTCTAACCTTCACTTCATTTTGAGGTTATAAATTTGATATTAAAAAAAAAAAAATTAAAATATTAGTGTACTTTAATTAATGTATTCCTCCAAACCCTTCTATTTTTATTTTTATTTTTTTCATTTCAAATTTTTTAATAAACTCAAATAAACCATATTCTTTCATTTTCTTTTCTAAACAAAATGGGCCAAAGGTTTGAAACATTAATTTGTTGTCTAGTGTGTGATATATATATATATATATATATATATATATATATATATATAAAGAGAAAAGTGGGTGAGATTCACGCGTGGTTGTGGTTGTGATTGCGTGAGGCAATCAAATAGAGGAAATGAGAGAGATGTTGAGGTGACAAGAGGGAGAGTAAAAAAGAAGAAAAAAGTGTTTGATTGGTCTAATCTCTTTGTTATAATGAAAAATATATGATTCGGATTGCACAAGATACGATCGCAAAGTTCATGCTGAAAAAAGTGTGTTTTATCATGAGGTAAACTCTCATCTAACGCCTCTCGAAATGCCACTTGTTCACTGACAAAATGTATTATTCTTAATTGGTTGCAATTTGGGCTGGTCAACCCTATCCCAACTTTGGTTACTCAACTTGAATCCACTCCAATTTTTCACCGAATTGGACTATTGTTTTTTAACAGATTGAGTAATGATATTCTTTCCTACCTAAATGGCCAAAAAATTATCCTAATCTCATATTGCCTCGTTTCTTCATCTCTTTGTATATTTACAAATCCCTCTTTATTTCTGGCTCTGTCAATTTTTATGTATGTCTCTAATTTTTCTACAAAATTGATTTAATGTTCAAATAAATGTCAAATCTATTACTGAAGATACATAATAAGATTAGAAGAGATTGCAAAGGAGGAAGAAGAGACCTAATTTGATGGTATGATTGAAGAGCTCAGATTTTGAGGATTTTAGTTGAAACCCATTAAGACGTCCATAAATTCCCTAGAAAATTGATACACTTATCCAAAAATTTTATTTTTTCATCTGAATTTGGATAATCAAATAAGGAACAGAGTAATCTAAGAATTCGTTAGAAGATATATATATATATCTCAAAGCATTAAATTTGTAACCAAATCACAGTCTATACAAAAGTTACAGATCCTTACCTTTCAAATCACAGTGTGTTCGAAAGTTAAAAACCCTTACATACACAATAAGATAAATATATATGCATACACACACATGCACACTGTGTCTAAGATACTAGAGCACAGTATCTTAGACACAGTGTGACGCTTCACAGACACCATCACTAGAAAAATCTCTCTTTCAACATGGTTACAGATTTAGTGAAAGAGAAATTCAGATTGTACCATAGAATAGTAGATAGTCGAAACGAAAGACATAATATAGGGCAATAGAGGAGAGAGAATGAGACGGAGATGATTCATATTTTAGTTTCTTTAGTCTACGTGCCTGTGCCACATCAAATTCAGATAAATATTTAGTCATTTGTGTCGGACCGAGTATAATTGCTATTACTTGTACTCGTGTAAGTATAGTGTTTTTTGGACTTTGATTTGTTGAGTAATTTAAACTTGTGACACTTTTTAATATTTATTCTTATTAAAGTTTGAAAAGAAATCAATTTCTTATATATATATATTGTTATATATATAAAAAATTCATTATTATATATATTTATTTATTTATTTTTACTTTAAATTTATAAATAAACATGTTAAAGTTAGATTAATACTTATGATATTATAAATCATCTACTTCAACATAAAAAGTAGGGAGAAGTGCAATAAACCCCGTTAGACTATTGAGGTTTTGCAACTAATCCTCTTGAGTTACATAAAAACCCTTTAAATTAACAAATTGTTGCATTTAACCCCAGCAGTTTAACAAGAGGGTGCTGAAAAAGCCAAAAGACAACATTACCCCTCTCTCAACTCAATTCTTTTTTTTCTTTTCTTCGTCAAATCAGAGAGATTGGAGTCTATTACAAATGTCCTAGTACAGGGAAATGGCGGTGAGGGGCTGAATGCAGACGAATCCGACTTGATGCTTGAAGTCATCGAAGGCGTTGATGATGTCGGACTGGGCTTGAGCAATTGGGCGGGGTGGCCGGATTTACAAGTGTTGTGGACGATGAGAATGGTAGAGGCGCGGCCGGTGAGTTCGACGAGGTGGAGGAAGTAGATGCAGATTGGGGATTTCTTGGTGGGATGAGAGGCATCGATGAGGTTAATGATGGTGGGGACATTTCGAGAGGTTTGGACACAGACTAGGATTCAAAGCTCAATGTCTGGTTTGGATCTTTGAATTGTTCTACGTTTGTGTAGTACAAATCTTTTGGCTTGTCTGTAGATTGTGGTTACAATGGGTGTAATTATTCTGATCATGACCATGGGTACAATCACCAAATTTACAAATGATTCACCATCTACATATTTCAATGTAAGAGAAATTTTATACTGATCAAAAAAAATTCCACTGAAACATTTGATTTCAAGAGAAAAAGAGGGTTTCTTTAATTGGTTCAAGAAGTTTGACTATATACGTATATATATGTATATATTACTTCCTGATGAACTTTGATAAATGTGATCATAAAATTCAACAATGTCTAGTGTTGAAGATGGAAATACTGATATTACAAACAACAATATATTGATTGCAGGGAGTAAATAATTTAGAAAAATTTAAGCGAACTATGTAACTCAATTATTCAGATTTTTATAAACATTGAAAATTATTAATCTAATTTTTAATTTGTAGTCTTTTTTATTAATTTTTAGGCTGTGGTCGGCTGTGATGAGGACTGCGGTGGGCAAGGTAGCGAGGACGGAACTGATGGCGGTTCGCGGCGGCGTAACTGGCGCAGCGGTGGGCTACGGGCTCGGCTGCGGCCGCTCAGATGGTGGGGAGCTCAGCTGTGGCCGGGGAGCAAGGGGGCTTCGGACGGCAGCCGGCGAGCAAGAGAAGACACAGTTATCTCTATTAATATCGGCGAGCTTCATACTACAGCAACAATTCACCTACCACCACTCTCACCACTGCTCTCAGCAACAGCTTCATACTACAGCCGCCGCCACCCTCATCGACGCCGCCATACCCAATTTCCCAACCTCCGCCTGTCACCTAATTTAAGACAACCCAAGAAAAAAACCACACCTTCAATTTCACCAACCACCACTCACCACTGCCCTCGATTTCACCCACCACCAGTCTCACCACTGCCCTCCATCTCTCGCTCTTCTTTTTCTCTCAAGTGTCACGCGCTCAGACGCCTTCTCTCTCTCCTTTCTCTCTCAAGAGTCGAGATCCGTCTCCTTCTTCCTCATCCATTATCGCAGTTGTGGAAGGGCATTATTGTCCAAAAAAACTCAGTTTGTCCATCACGTGATTCTGACACGCTCATTTTTGGACGGTCGGTGGTCGGATGAAATGATTTACAACAAATTTGTATACTTCAGGGGTTTTTTTGCAATTTTAATAGTTTAGGGGTTAGTTGCATATTTTCCAATAGTCCAAGGGGTTTTTTTGGCACTTTTTCCTAAAAAACGTATATATCTAATCTTAAAAGTATAAATATTATAAACTTTTCTTATATTTTGAAGAGGAGTTGTTTGAGTTACTCAGTTTATTTAGGCTTTTGTCCAAATGCAACCCAAAATATATTTGAAATCTAAAGTGTAAACCCAATCTCATGGTGTAAGTTACCTCGCTCACGCCCCTTAAAAATTTTAGGCGAGACTTACGTTACTCGAGTTAGACCCACCCAAATTTCGGACCTAAATCCTCTCAAGTGAAACAATTATCCTATTTCGTTCAGTTAGTGAACTGAGTAGGTATGTAACATTATCCAATAGCTTAAACATCATTCGTCTGGTATCACGTCAAGCTCTCGTATGGGCATGCTCACTCGAAAGGTGCCTACTTGGGTTCAGGTCGGGTAGTAGGGTGGTCCAACCGTAGTGAGAACCTTGCGATTTCTGATTCGGGTTAGAAGGCAAGCACCCTTTGAGTGGTTCACTATATATATATATATATATATATATATATATATATATTATTATTATTATTATTATTAACTGCCAAACCAGCGCCAAGAGAGGGATACATGCGCCCCCCCCCACCCGGGCGCGCTTTTATTTTTATATTTGTTATATACCGTTATAATTTGTTCATTTTCAGTAATATACTCATAAAATATTACTTTTGCCCCCCTTATCTTACATCCTAGCTCTACCCCTCACAACAACTCATCTATTTTTTTTATTTTTTCTTTATTCTATAGAAGTTCTCTCTATAAATAATAAAGAGTATATATTATTAAATAATGGAGTATATAATTATATATAACTTTAAAAATTATAAGGTGCCCTTGAAAAGTTTTTTCATCCGTAGATTTTACATACAAAATCACATAGCACTAATATTATCTTTCGCATAAGAGGACAACAGAAGATAAACGAAACACAATCTACTACTAATCGTAATAAAGCAAAAGAAATAATAAACATTTATTCTCAACCGTTTTCATGGTAATCTTTTATTAAATCATAATCATTTGGAAAATCAACCTTGAAATAAATAATGCAATGTCTTGAAAATATAGCAATTTCAATTTGGACGTTGAATCAGTTTAGATATGTACGTGTAAATTAGAGTGCTCAAGACACAGCACTCTCAGCTAGAGGCCAGTGTAAAACAAGAATTTTGTATTAGTGTAATTAATATAATCCTGTATGTATCTAGTGTACAATGCTAACAACAAAACCCCCACAGAGAAAGGGGTAATTTTACACATCTAACCAAAAAATAAAAAAATAAAATAAAAGAAACTAAAATTAAAAAGTCTATTGGAACAGTGGACTACTGGAGGGAGAATAAAAAGCAGCAATCCAACTAATAAAACACATCCCTGCCAATTGGAACAAATAAATATCAGGCAAGGCACTATACAGTGGAACAAAAAATGGTGTTTTAAACCTCATAGACTAGATGTTGCAAAAATGAGAAACTGCCAAACACTGATATGTGCAAGAGGAGAGCCACGATGCTACTCGGTATCAGTTTGTAGACTGCATCTCGTGATGAACTGCTATTACCAATCTGTCCTGCATTGACAAATTCACTTTTACCGGCATTCGTGGTTGTGGAGACATTGACAGACAATGCACCTAATGACATTATTTCAAACATTAGGTTAGAATACAGTGTGAATGTAGAATAATGACTTGAGAGGGCACTTGGACACCATAGAGAATGAAATCATTCCATCTGTATTACAATGGAATTTGAAACTTGTTCCCTTTGGATCTTCTTCATTGCATCTGAACGAGTTTATCTGTGTCTTGTCCATTTAAAAAGTTTGGGCACACCAGTATCAACAGAAAATCTCAATTGTTTCATTTCCATATGGTGTTCAAATGTTCTCTTTAGAGTAGGTCTGTTGAGACTTACAGTCATAATTAGACCATCCGATCCGTTGGCCAGCTAGATCATAAACAATGATCTTGTCTTTGAGAACAAGGTCTGCGGAAGAAGGTGGAAAATAATTAAGATAGTGATTTTTGTCTCAAATCAAGCTCTCAAGACAATAAGAAAAGAATTGCATGAAACAATATATGGATCTCTTATGGGACTCTTGCAAATTTGGCATTGGAATTAATGTACCCATGGAGTTTGAATAAGCAGACTCAGAGACAGAACTAGTGCTTGAACATAGTGGTGGTTATCTACTTACAGATCTACCAAAATTTTCAGCCTAGCGAGGTGTAACTTCAATATTTATTTCTAGCAATGCCAACATAATTAGTTGTCGGTTAAATTAAGACAAAAATCTTTACACGCATCACTAAACCCATAAAGAGAAGCTAACATGGTGTTGTCCCTAACAGGTTAATCTCTGAGAATGAGGTACTCAATGAAATGGTACTCGTTATGCTGGTTGCAAGTAAAATTCTTAGAATGGTCCTCAAAAAAATAACACTTGCGATGCTGGTTTCAAGTTAAATTCTTATTAGGGTCCACATTGTAGTACAAAATGAAACAACTAGTGTTAGAAAACGCTAAACAGTTATAGATGAACAAGTAGAATAACACTGCACATTACAAAATAACAAACAGGAAAATACATGATATAAAAATAAGTAAATTTAAAATATAAAGCATTAGTAATAGCTGAAATCAGAATATTTCAGTCTGACAACAGCCACTTTATGCAAAAAATAATGCCACAAGGTAGGTCCCATAATGACTTTTTTCTACAACAAATTTGGCCATGATTTACAGCAGTCTGCTTTTTTATTTTTTTTTATTTTTCCTGGTAATCAAGAGGCAATACATTTTTTAAAAAAAGAAACAGAATAGCCAACACAAGAATGAGAAATTGGACAAGTGGCAAGTCAAGGGATTGGGAATTTTTTTTTAAATCAAGTGTGAGAGAGAAACTGGAAGGGGAAAGGCCATATTAATTTTACAACAAGGAGGAAATTGAGGTGGTCTACAGATGAGCAAAATATCTATACCAGTGAGGATCATACTTGACGGGAAAAAGATATCACAAATACTAGGTGAACAGCGATGAAGTATGAATAAACTATGGTCGTCACACATCCAACATGGAATTCCCTTACAGATTAATAGCTATGACTGGAAACATTAACCATGTTGATGATATATAAATATGTGTGTATCAGAGAGAGAGAGCAATGGATATGTAACATATGGTATTTTTGTTAGAAATCCAAGCATGGTTATACATGAAACTAGCGTGTGCTTTTTCATGCAAATGCTGCATCTTTAACTGGAGTCTACCAAATATTTAATTGAGAAAAGCCTTTGGATAAGTGTTCATACCTCCTAGAATTGTAATTCCTTGACCCGGGATTTTCTGAAAGCCAATGCACCACACCGCAGCACCACCCTGTAAAAACAAAATAGACCATTTCAGCTAAGGATGTTCTAGCAAACTATAGTACTACATAATTGACCAATAAGGCAAATCCATTTAAAATCACTGCAAATAACTAGAGCTTGTTTGGATGTATTTCTGCTTGGCAAAATTTCTGCAGTAGAGTGTTGCATACTGACTAACAACAAAGGAAGTGATGAGAGTGGCAGTGGGATGCATACAAAGGAACAAGCAAGGAACAAATGTATTTGGACCAACTAGTTTAGTATTGGAGAATCTATTACCACAATACAAAAGGAAGAGCTCTAAGAAATAAATAGCATGAACCATATCTCACCAAATAAAATTCAAAATATTCATACTAAGGAGATGATCAAATCACGATAATAGAACTCTAATTTTTTTTTTTCTTCCTAAGCCACTATAATGCAACTCTGTTTGCAGTGAAAATGAAGATACCATTGAGAATGTGGATACTACTTGCAATCATTAGAAACATTAGAATGCAAGAAGTATGTCAAGAAGAAAATGGTTGCAGGAGGTATTTACCAATCTAGGTCACTCACTTCAGAGACCAAATCTAATAAGACTAGTATTTCTTGGGCCACAAAAGAATCAATAAATGAGGAGCACAGAAACTGCACTGCACAACTAGAAAATCATGTACTTGCCACACCGGTAAGCCTTCAAATAGGAATAAGAAAAGGATAGTTGCAGCTGAGATTTTTCACCACACTGCCTTCTAGAAATAAATGGAATGCAAGGGGAAAAACTCTCAAAAACAAAACTATTAAGTGAATGTACAAAATCAATGTTATATGGCTAGTGCAGCAAGGGGAGAGTGTGTTGGGGGATTGGGGTTACAACCATCCTCAACCTGGGGTCAGCCACAAAAAAAATAAACTCATCCAAACAAACCCTAAACAATTAGGGGAAAAAAAAGAGAGTAAATATTTCAAATTTTAAGCTGACAATATACTCACAATGGAATTCTGCTGTAAAAGGTAGTCCTGAGGTTTCAAAATCATGGATGCACCACCAGCGAAGTTTAAACTAACTGTAGGAAATATCTCAGAGACACTGGAACAGAGAATAAACATATTATCAGATGATAAAGCAAATAAAATGGATTATATAAACTAGGATAGTAGATCTTTAAAAGAGACCTGGAGGTTATTAAATAACATTGGTTTCCCTTGGACAGAAGGGGGCGCACAGATTGTGAAACAGCCTGTGTGATCTGCATGAACAAGAAGACTATATACTTCAAATTCCATAACTTTTACAATATTTATTGATCAAATAGGAACAGATCCAATGTCTTTATATTAGGCTATATATTGTTCTCAAACATTACTTGATAAACATCATAACAAGTTCCTCATATAGATTAATGGAAGACCTAGATATTTTTTTATAAGAGAATCTGAGGAATTGCTTCACTGCAACTTACAGCATTGATGAAAGGATCATAAGCTTCTTCTGCAAGGTATGCCAAAGTAGTTCCAGAATCGACTATAGTTCCTCGGTTGTTAGATGTTGTAAACACTGCTGGATCAATGGATAATGTCTGCCCGTTGACAGAAATGCTCTGCAGATTCAAATTATAATGTGGCCTGAAAATTTGGACATAGAAGTTGATTGTCAAACTTACTGAAAAAGAAACAATCGCCAACATTGAAACATAAATAGAATTAAAGTGAAATCCAAAATAAAGTTGTTTAACAGTTATGGAAACATGCCAAAAATTCAGAAGCATGTAAATTACTGTGTTACAGGAATTGACAGTTTCCAAGACTTCCACCAAACCCCATTTTTTTCCTGAAAATATTGCTCCTTTGAGCAAAAATAGGCTAACCAGCGGATAGAAAATTGTCAGGAACTTTACCAGAATCTGAATTTCTACCCAAACATTTTTACACCAATAAGTTTTAATCAGATCTAGAAATGGTTCGCATATATCAATGTATAGCACCAAATAAAAGCAACACACATATGCTCCATTAGGAAAATAAAAGAAGGGTTCATGAAACTGTTCAATTTTTTTTTCTTTATTTTTGGTCCTACGGCCAGAAGCCTATTTCAACTGTCAAACCAGGTCCAGTATTGCTCAAGTTGAAATCATACTTAAAATTATGTCCAAGTTTGCTTCTCTAGGCTGGTGAATGAACTTAAAGAAGCGACCTAACAAGCTGACCTCAATTTGTTCAGGAGTATTTTTTGACTTATCAGCCCAAAAGCCTAATTGTATAAGTCCTGTTCCACAAGACTTGACCTGGTGATCAAATTCAACTCATTAAAATATAGAGCCAAGAAAACATTTAGGAAAAGATACATATATATATATATATATATATATAGAGAGAGAGAGAGAGAGAGAGAGAGAGCCAAGATCTAGGTCTAAGCTTTGGGTCATTAATTGGTGAGCATCCCTAAAACAAGTTCTCTGAGCTGACTTTGATCTGCTCACAAGCATCTCAATTTGTTCTAAAGTATAACTACTGTACATCTAACTCTTGCTGATATTAATGAGCATCTGGTTTAAGAAACTTGAAAACTATCACAAAAGCTTAATCAGTCAAAATAAGGATTCCCTTTGATTTATGGCAAACAGTAATCAAGACACCTTCAGCTTTAGTTTCAGATTTTGGGCGGCTATTTTTCAGAAGTCTTTTGCTGATATACACCAACAGAACTTTTAAATTGTCTCTACATTATACTCTCTTTAGATCTGGAGAAGAGAAATAAGAATAAAAATATAAAGGATGATCAAGAGCAAAATCAACATCTAAAAGGCCACTAATTCATCAACTATAGCAATACTCTTTCCAAGGGCATTAAGGATCAGGTTGTTAAATATAGTTGCAAATGCGACAGCTGATCTTTTTCCTTAGATTTTAGCTGCACAACTTAAAACGCTGAAACATTAAAACATATTGGTAACTTCAATTAAACCCCACTCAGACTCCATTAGCTTGAGGCACTGAATTCCTTATCTCTTAACTTGAACGGTGAAACACTAAAACATATTGGAAACATAAGTTGAACCCCATGCTAACTCTGTTAGCTCGAGGGGTTGACTCTGTTATCTACTAAGTTGAAGCCAGTAAGGATCCCTTTCGCCACCAGCTGACCAAATAGATTACTGATAATGTGACAGTTTATAGAGGATATAAACTTGCTAAGGCACTATTCTTAAAATGAAGACAGCACAGACCAATCAGTAGAGAGCATTGGGAACACTTGCCTCTGCCATAATGGAAAAACTAAATGGTAAAATAATCTGATAGACCCATCACATTTTATGGCTACTAACATTATTGAATTTGGAATAGAAAATCATCCTATATTCACCAAACAATTGAGAAACTCAACAACAAGAGCTAGGTGCTAAATTTCTCACCAGTTCAACCTTTGTCTTCCCCAGCATCAGTGGCAATAAAAAAATTTACTTTTTCCTTCCATTTCCAGCTTATTTTAAAAAGAAAAGCATAATAAAAATAGAATCCATAAACCAAACGAACCAAAATATGATCCATCAAATATGCAATTATTTTAGATGATCTCAACCCTCTACTAATTCATGCCATGCTCCTATGAAGCTATTTGGGGGGATTACAATGAACCTTTAAAGCAATCAGCAAGTAGGATATCAAATATTGAAATCATTACCAAGGAAGCATGGCAATTTAAGGCCCTGCCAGACTGTAAATCAAGAGCATGTATGGTCCTACTCAAACAATATAGTAAGGACAAATGTTTTTTTAAAGACAAAGAACAGCATATATATGAAAAAAGCAACCATCAATGAGGCAACCTAATACCATAAGCCCGTAACAAGAAAATCATCCATCAAGGAAATATGTAGTTTAAAACCATATATTGAGGCAACAGAATAAAAGTCCTATCAGTGACTAGAACATATTTCAAGAAAATTATCAGCCCAGGCAACATGGTATATCCTAAGGGATCTACCAAATGAATGGTATATCAGGCAGCTATTTCTGCATTATCTAAGCAAAACTATAGTCTATGATTTCGAGAGCACAAATCAATTCAAGATGGAAGCTTTTTGAGCAGAGGCAGTCCTGTAAAGGCCCTACCAAACTATATATACAATGAAAACATGGCAATCTACGCTTCTGTGTGACCAAAGGCGGTCCTGTAAAGGCCCTACCAAACTATATATACAATGAAAACATGGCAATCTATGATTCTGTAGCTTCTGTGTGTCACTTATGTGTCAACCATGAGGAGAATGCACCAATGCTTGGCAAGTTTGGTGCTGGATTGCTGATGTGTTTAGTTGGAATTTACAGAGACCTGATTCTGTTTTGAATCTAGCCACTGCCTTCCATCAACAATATAATGCTAAAACGCTTGGGCACAAAATGTTCAAGATGTTGTTCACTGCTACCTTGTACTTCATTTGGTGAGAGAAATGGGAGACTTCATGGTGCCACCCCTAGAGATTCCAGTGGGTTGGCTAAATGCGTTGTGTGGGATGTAATGGATAGCTTGGGGTATGCCTCCAAGATGTCATTGCTTAGGGCTTTGGTTTTTGTTTTTAGATGTAGTAAGGGTATGCCCTTGCTGATCTGTTGAATCTTTTTAGTTTGGGCTTTGGTTTTGTGAGGGTATGCCCTCATGTCTCTTTTTGTACTATATTGTTTATATTTATAATATTTAACCTTCATTTAGGAAAAGAAAACATGTAATCTACGATCTACATTAAAGACGAGTCGAAGGAATAACAATTTGGCATGTCATGTATACATGGAGACTATGACGCATCTGAAACTGTGTTTTGAAACAATAATGGTTAAAGTTAATATCAAACTGAATAATCAAAGGGAACAGCTTTTGGAACCAAGAAAGGTAGTGTCAGGACCAAACAAGCTATATACTGAGCCAGTTATGTATCAAGGCAATGTTGTTCTATTAAAACATATATCGAAGCAACAATATAGTTGTAAGGTTTCACCAGAGCATAAATATCAAGGCAATGTGCAGTTGCAACATGGTAGTGTAAGTTGTCTACAACAAGGCAACTAGTTGAGGAGAAGGGTGACTTGTGCTTTTGAAATACTTCCAAATTATAAATAGAGGCATATGGCACTTTAAGGCCTAATTAAGTAATTAACACATATTTGAGACCACCCATCTGGGTGTCGGTTTATATGGTTCTAATGAACCAACATTAAATTTTGAAACATCGGCTAATCAATCGTATCCTGTGGTATTGGAAATAATATTCTATATTGGGTTTTTTATTGTGTTTGCTGTCAAATCACCAATTATACCTCCACATAAATGGTTACCAGATACCCATGGAGAAGCACATTACAGTACCTGTATGCTTCTAGCTGGAATCTTATAAAAAATGGGAGCATATGGATTGGTTCGGATCAATATGGAATTATTACCGCACGCTCATTCTATATTTTCTCCTTGGTTTATCATAGTAGGTACAACGCAAATAATCTACACAGCTTCAACATCCCTTGGCCAGAGGAAATAAGAAGCAGCTAGCTTATGAAATCAATTATCCTTTTGATGTGACATAATAATTTATGTCCAAAGACCATAATTTGATGCAACAATGTAGCTTGAGCACAAAGGCCCTACCAAATCAGAGTACTTTAACACATTTACAAGGCTATAGTTCTTATAAGGGGAATTCAATTGCTGGAACTGTGGAACATGACCCATCACTCATGTTCGCCTCTTAGTTCTGTTTTCTTTTTTCCCTGACAATAAACAACAAGTCAGTTATCGAAGCCAGAATCCCTTTTTAAAAATTTAAAAAAAAACTTTATCGTGTGGTTGAAAGGGATCTTATGTGTTACTACACCATGATGTGCTAGTTCGAACATAACTTCTTAGTGAACTGCCACTATTCCATTTAATAAATTGAATAAAAGCATCATTAACTCAAAGGGGTTGGATAAGTTTAAATGGTTTCTAGATAAATGGATATTGTTTGTGAAAAGTTAGATAAATGAATATTGTTACACCACAGTATGAATTGGGCGGAAGTACTTTCACTAATTGGTTCATCTCCAATCCTTCCAGACATGCCTATCTCTACATCTTACATAGTTCCAGAAAGTGACTTCTACTTTTCAAAACCAATGATGATGAATATTGGAAACCCATATGATTATGTGTAATATTAACAGCTACAATTATATACCCAAATAAAAAACCAATAAGGTGACGCTCATCAAATTTCCATAATTGTAATGACAAAAAGAATCCAGGAGGTAAAAAGAAAGTGAGACGTAACAGTTTCCTTGTAGCAGATAGAGAACATACTGTGATTGGACAAGTGGACTATAAACTATATTCGGCTCCACAATCTCACCAAGGACCAATATGCCACCACCACCGTTATCTCCTTTCAAGCAATGGGAGAACACCTTTGGAGTAATTCCCTGAGAAGAAAGTTGCGAGATGACAGACAAGCCCTGCTGCCCAAACCCAAAGATCCCATCAACTGCTCTATCTGACTTAGTCAAGTCCCCAGTCTGTGATGTGCTGCAACTGTTTTGTAATCCAGCAAATAAGAAATGAGCTTAATTGACAAATACCAAACTTCATTATACATAGAGATGATAGCTCACCCAAAGACAACGGGAGCCGAAGTGTTTGTAGTCAATGAATTCCCAACAATTGTGTCAAAATGCATCAAGTCTGATACATAATAACCCGATGTACCACTGCCATCTCCATATTGGAATGTGTAACCGCACTGATTATTCTGAGTAGAACAGCCAGAATCCGAAGATTGAGCTCCTAAAGCACATCTTTGGTCTGAACAAGGGATCATGGAAACTGTAGATGAGCTCGAAGGATCAAAAAAATTGAGCTGAATCTGTCAAGAAAAAGCATATAAAAATGAAAATTCTATGTTTTGATTCCACAGCCAGACACCATCTACAACAAATGGATATTACAGGTAAGGAGCAGTAATTTTACTTGGAGTCCACTCGCTGTGGGACAACCATTGCACAAATTGCAACTAACCCACAGGACATCGCTTCCAGTATCAATCTGAACATAGAATTCTTTTGGAGGAGAACCCAATTGAACTCTTGTAAAATAAAGCCTATTGCAAAAACATTACTTTTGATAAGAGAGAGTATAATCAAAGTATAGATGATAATGGATCAAAATAGAAGATGCTAGACACCCATTAATCCCAAGAAAACAAAAAAGGACCGCGACTGTCGGTCAATTTATTTACAAAGAATGAAAAGGACACTGTGAGAATCTTACTGAAAATAAAGCAAAACGAGTAGATAGAATCAAAGCATATCAATCATAAGCACAATAATTAAAAAGAAACATAAAAAGAAAAAAGAAAAGGAACACAAAACAAGAAGAGCCCCATCAATCAGCTATATATATATATATATATATATATATATTAGGTAAGTATCAATCAGCTATGCTCCATATCATAAATCGAGAAAGCAAAGTAAACAAATCAAATTGCAAAAACCTCAATCCAAAAAAAACAGTGACATACCCATATCTCCTGATTACATGGGCTATATATATACATCACAAGTTTTATAACAAAGATTAGGCATTTAGGCATCATCATTCAATATATATATAAAGAAAGAAAGAAAGAAAGAATGGATAAAATTACCCAACAAGGTAGGGATCGTAGGTGCCTTCAACGGGAAAATCAACGACACCTCCTGAAGACTGCAAGATTCGACCGTGCCTAATGCTGTCGCGAGCTCTGAGTTGACTCAGCTCGGTTCTGTGACTCGTCGGGAAAGCTCTCTCGAGGGTGAGACTGGCCGGGAACCCACAGAGCACCGCTGCCGCCGGCAGAACCACGGCGGCGAACGCCAAGAAGATCGGAAATCGGGTGGGAAAAGAAACCGGCATTTCCTTTGGCTCTGCTTTTCTCTCTGACTCTCTCTTGCCCTTTTTACTTTCACCAACAACCGAAACAAACAACGGCTAATTAGTCTATATTATATACAATATAGTGTGTGTATTGTATTGAAAATTTAAAGACAAGAACGAAGAGAATGAAGAGGCAGAGATCGAGTGGCTTGTTTCTGCATATGCAGAGAGAGAAATTTCACTCTAGAGAGATAAAGTTTTAGAGAGAGAGTGAAGGGGGGAGAAAGAGAGAGTCCCGAGTCTGCGAGACAACAGCCGATAACGGAAGTTTCAAAATTGGATTACGTTAACAATATATATATACTATATATTATACATATGCACATATTCAGAATATATATGTGTGTGAGCTGTGTGTATTGTTTTGGTTTCTTCGTGACTCGCTTTCCTTACGCCTATCTTCGAGTAGGTGAACTGAATGATGCGCGTGTTTCACGCGCCTTTTCTTTTTCTTTTTCTTTTTCTTTTTTCTTTTTCTTTTTCTTTTTTTCTTTAACTTTTTTTTTTTTTCTAATTTTTAAATTTGCAACCACCCCCATTAACTTATCTAAATTTGTATTCTTACCCATCAGAATTCATATTTTTTTAACTTAAAACACTTCTGAGATTTTTTTTTTCTCTTTGTGACCATGGGTTAGCCTTTTTCATTTGCATTTACCGTCAATTAATATTGTGACTTGTGAGATTGCAAAAATGTACTACTTCGAGAAATTCTATATTTTTTTAAAGTAAACATTGATAAATAATGAAAAGCTGAGTGAATCAAACATAAAAACAATCAATGAGATTTTTAGATATGTAGTTATAAACATTTAGGTATTTATTTGCACTAAAGTCAAAAGTTTGAGATTTCCACCACTACATAAATGAATTTTTAAGAAGCTTCTCTTGCGACTTTGACTCATGCACAGAGGACGACGGCTGTTATTTTATTATTTCATCTATCAATGAAAATATCCTGGATATTTTATAATTAATATTTCATTTATCAATTATTAGTACATAAAGGGTTGTTAGTTTCATAAATATGTTGCAAGTTAATCAATGAAACAAACTTATAAATTGAAATTGAGCTCTTAAAAACTGCATAATTTAATAGGTTAAACCTCCGCATACATTCAACCTCAATAATTAGGTTAAATATTTTAGAATAAGAAGTTTCAAATATGTGTTAAAGAAAAATCTTTTACATCATTATTTTATAAATTTTTAGAGCATCTCCAACGGTATGTTAAAATACTATTTTGTATAAAATATACATTGCCACCTAAAATGTATAATTTTTTTTCATCTCCGCAGTCTATTAAGATACATTGCCACATCACCATTGTGTAAAAGGGTTGTATATTACCTTTTTACACGGCCAAATCAACATATTTTATTTTTATCATTCTTTCTCATTCCATAAAAGAATCAACTATATATTAAGTAAGTTTGTAAAAATTATGTGGGTTATATTTTTATACAAAAGGTATAAAACAACCGTTGAAGCTAAAATTAAATAATTCAAAATTTTTGTATAAATCCATCGTGACACATCAGATTTACATAAAAAAATATATATATATACATAGATGCTCTAAGGGTAGCAACAATCAATAAAGAAAAATAATTTTAAAATAATTATTGCACCGATTTATTACAGTGAGTTGTCAGACCTATTTATTTTATTTAAAGCGTCTACCTTCCACTTATGTGTATTGTACATAAATAATCAATCAAAAAAATTTTGATTAGATAATTCATTATAACAAATTGGTGCAAAATTTAAGCAAGTCTATAAATATCATTTTCCTTATCCAACAATTTAGGGCTTCAATTTTACATACGTGGGCCAACGCTCAATTTGTCCATTAGAGAGAAAATAAAAATAAAAAATAAAAAAATATGTCTATTTCCCACATTCAACATGTCGGCACTGTCACTTTTTTCCATATTTATTCGCTGGGATTGTGCCTTTGTACCTAATCAATAATCTTGTCCACTTAAGTGCAATCTTAAGAGGCAAAAAATATACTGGAATAACTATAATTAGCTTAACAAACTAGAGTAATGAGCTTTTGATTTGACCACACAAACCTACTTCTTTTTTAACTTGGTGGCTGTCCCCTTGTATTGCTAATAAGTGGGGGTGGCCCATGTCCAAACACCCAAATAATAGAGCCACCCATTTTATGTGGACCCTTTTTGAAATGATAAAGCCTAAAGTACACCATGAACCTTCTTCTTACGCTGAACACTCCTGTAAAGAACTTGATTTTAAATTTGAAACATGTGGTTCGTCATAATAAGGGTTAAGTGTATAAAAAACACTTCTAAAATTTATTTTCTATACAAATAACACCTATCTAGTTTATTTTGGATATACAAGTTTTTGATTATCTGCAAGTCATGTGCCATGATTAATTAATGATATTAAATATTATTTTATTTCCGCTCCAAAAAAAATGTTGCAAGTCATATGAGTCATGATTCTACAAACACTACATTTTTTCTAAAACGGACGGAATATTCAAAATGTCCTTTTAAAATCCAAAATGTGCCCATTTTCTATATAAATCTAGTGCCTCCAAAATCCCGTTGTTTCCTCAAGGCCATTATGGCCATTTTACAATCAGTAGGTTTTTTTACTCTTCTTTATTTTACTTCAAGAAGGATAGTTTAGTATTTTCATTGCTTCATTGATGGTTGAATGACATGAGGCCCTAGTTCGCCCCAAAAATAAACCTATAGTATTTTTTGCACGAACCCTAATAATAATTAGAGTAAAATTACAACGAGGTCAATCTCATGACAGTTATTGTGAACTCTATCTTTTTTCTCTTGATATTGTAATAATATTGAGTTGGATATCTAATCATTTGAAATAAAATTGTATGAGAATTATGGTTAAATTTTCATATCAAATTTTATTTATATTAAATTACCCAAATCAGTCAAATTTTGATAGTATGATTTTTCTTGTGCCTTTATTTTATTAAATTAAACTATTTTCTTTGATCACAGTGTATTAAGCTATAGATATATATTTAACAAAGTGATCACTTTTTAATGCAGAATATGTGATGATATAATTTAAATATATATATTTTTAAATATGCTAATTAAAAAGAGACCTCATAACAAATGCTTAGAGGGGCAACCCAGAATAGACTTAAAAAAAAAAAAAATTGGACTATGACTGCGCACTTTAGCAAAGCCAAGTGCTCAATTATTTGAAATTTTTTGGCTCTTGACTGCTCTGTTTTTGGAAAGCAAAAAGCAAAACAATCGCCACGTCCCTTTGCTTTCTTTTACTACTTTTTAAAAATAATACACTAGTTGGAGACCTAGTGGGCTTGTCTTTTTTGTTTAAGTGACTAATATGCCCCGAGGGCAAAGGCTGTCATTGGCCAAACAGAGCTTTGGACATAGGACATGCTTGTGATTTTCTCTTAATTTTTTGTCTCTTTAGTGTCAGATTTGTTTGGGTTGGCTAAAAAAAACAGTGGAGGGATATGTCTCCAATTTCGATGCAGCGACATTCATTAGCAAACAGAGCTTGTACCACTGCACGGCTCAATATGGTACCGTTGATGTTCGAAAGTGGTCTAAATAATAATAATGTTTATATAATTTATATTGCATGCCCATTACAACACTGTTCGTGAATACAATTCTAACACGGTACCAGATGAGTAAATTTGAATTGATACTAAAAAGATTGAGTTATAAATAGGTTGACACTATTAATTCTTTTATTTAATTATGTTGAGTTATGATTAAAAAATTAATCCGTTTAACTTAACATGTGACTTAATGTAATATATTACATGTATAAATCTAATTACTATAAATAATTAAGTCATTTCAACTTAAATATTGACTACGCTTTATGCTTCTTTTTCTTATTTGGAATATTTGGGTTAATTGTGACAAATTTTTTTTTTAATATTTATTATCTAATTGAATATTAAATCTCACATTTTGATAAAAATGTCATTAAACGGGTTAATAAATATGTTCGGTTAGTATTGAGAATTCTGACAATTATTAAATGAGTTAAATTTGAATTTATCTATTGAGTATAATATATTTACATCAATACGATGCAATTATGATTCATGAACGCGAATTTTCACCCTAATGCCAAATAATGTGCACATTAATTATATACATTTGTTGAATTGGTCAAACATCTTGTGTTTGATTATAACCTATTTTGAGTAAGTCTTGAGTTTATTTATAACTTAATTATGAGACTGACGTATCATTTTAATTAGTCAAACAACTTATACTTTGTTATAAAATCATGTCGTAGCATCTTTAGCAATTCGTTAATTTTTTTATTTTTGTAAAATAAACGCGGCCATGAATGATATGTAATTTTTTTTATACCCTTATTAAAATACACTGCCACGTCACTAAATGTATAAAATTCTCACCAATATATAAAATTGTTATGTATTTTACACAACTTTTTTATACAACCACATCAACATATTTCCTTTCTTCTCTTTATTTCTTATTCCATTAACAAATCAACCATGTATTAAGTATGTTTGTAAAAATTATTTGGGTCCATACATGATTCTGGTTAATTGTAATTGGGGAATATATTTTTACACAAAAGGTATAAAATAACCGCTTAAGCTAAAAATAAATAATTCAAATTTTTTGTATAAATCTATTATGATACATCATATATATATATATACACATAAGATGCTCTTACAATGTTTGGTATTGATATTGTATATTACTTGCAACACAAAATATAAACTAAAAATTTGTCAAACAAGCTCTAAAAAATAAAAAATAAAATTTTTAATTCAAATTTGTGATGGATAATACCTAAATATTCACCACTGAGTAAGGTGTTTCCTTCTTATGTGGACTAATCACAAATGCACATTATATTTATTTACAAAATTAAAAAATAACAAAAAGAAAAACATAAATGTAAAGTATAGTTCACCGTAAAGAAGTTAAATTTAGACGTTTTTTTTTTTCAAAAATTTATACTTTACATTCACTCACCCTCTTTATTTTTATTTCTATTTGTAATTGGACTACATGAGATGAAGCATGGCATCTACCCAAGGATACATATGTAAGTATTGTCCTTTGTAAATTATTAACGTGGACAAATGCTAGATTAGTGAGTAATTACTAATCAGGCATCAATTTCACGAACAACTTGAACAACTTGAAACCTAATTGGCGATGGGGCTTTTCCAATCTCATAAGCTGTTGGCCATTTAAAACTTTCACTAGAAAAATACGCATGTTTTCAAACTGCTCCACTTGGAAACATTCTCGAAGTCTAAAGAAAAAGATTAAAAAAAAAAAAAAGAAAAAAAAAATCAAAGTAAAGAGTTTGGTTTTGAATTTGAATAAGGATGACGTGCGCACATACATAAATAAATAAATAAATATATATATATATAGACATGGTATAGCAATAACACATGGATTTCCCAACTATCTTTGATAATTAGAAGTAAATAAAAAAAATCATTTTATTTCCAAAGTCTATTTTTAAAAAAAATAAAAAATTAAAATTTGTCGCGCCATATGGAAAAATACTCGAGGACTAATTCGCGAGCGTGTGCGTCAATTGACATATGTGACGTACAATGCCGGCCTCAGAAAAATCATTTTGTAACAGAATTTGTGTCCCCCCACATTTTGATTGTTCAATGTGAATCCAAGTTGGGAGACACATGATGAACCTTGCATGGTCATTTGGCTCCGGACCCACCTAAACATATACTGTATATTGAAAAGGAAGCTTCCTATTATCTCTTCTAAAACAAGTTACTATATAGAAAGTTGCTGTGAAGTTTTGAATTGGCCCCTGTTGGTTGACAATGTGAAATGCCATTTTTATCCTTTAACTTGGCAAATGACGTGTGTAGTAGTCTCACTTTGTACACTTGAAATGAGATCAATTTAGCTCATAATTTTTTTATATATGGACAAATAGTATTGTTTTATATTTTACATAAATTTAAATTTGAAATTTTTTTTTTTGCATACTCTCTCTCCAAATTACAAATTACTTTGTAAAAGTTTGCAAATTCATAAAAATTTCCAAATTAGAAAATTAATCTCAAAATTTTAAAAAATATGCCCAATGTAAATTATATTATCTCTTAAAAAAAATAAGGGTTATAACTTAATGGTAATATTTTTCTACCCATCCAAGTGGAAGATAGAAGTCCAATTCCCCTTACGGTTCATTGGAGTGTAAATTTTATGCCGGCAAAGAAAAATAATAGATAAACTATTTATTAGTTTATATATATATATTTATAATCAAATTTATAGTCATTTATCGTTCAATCTGAATCATTCTCCTTATAGAACGAAACCAAATGGATTAATGTATATACAAAAGGTGCGAGCAATAGTGCTGCAATAGTGTCCAATTTAATTGGTAGATCAAATTATATTGTTTTTTTATTTAATGATAATCCTAATTTAATTTACACTAGTTTGAAGATTTGATTTAGCTTAGTTTTTCAAGCTGGACTGCATCGAGCTTGTTCTACATCTCTATCTTTGAGAAATAATAATGAAAAAATTACAAGTTAGTCCTACTTTTACACTCTAAAAAGAACTCTTGTTTAAAAGATGAAGACCTAAGGTATAAAAGACCATTACCCAATATAATTATTCTTAATCAAGGGCACTGGAAGGAACAAATTGGATATATATACTCATAACATTATTTTTATATAATTTACAAAAAAAAAAAAAAAAAATCATTATTTTTATATTATTAGGGGAAAAAAAACATTATTTCTATATTTGTATAAAATTTGTTATATACAAGGCACCAAACTTGCTGATGGATTCCTATTTTTTCAAGTCAATGAGTTGGAAATAAATTTGGTAACTTATTTTTTCGGGTTGTTTGATGATTTCGCGGCATGCATGCATCGTTCCAGAAAAGTTCTAGATGAGTTGTTATGAAGATTAGACATGTTGCTCAAGTCAAATATAAATTATATAATGTATTATTTGTCAACTAAACCATGAAAACTTCTTTGATAAGAAATAGTTTATATCAGGCAAGTAACAACTGGTCCAGTAAATATAATCGAGATATTTAATTTGACTGGGTTACACAAGTAACAGCTGGTCCAGTAAATATAATCGAGATATTTAATTTGACTGGGTTACACTATAGGATTTCAATGGATAGCATAAAATGGTCGTTTGAGGACTTGGGCTGTGTCGTATAATGTCGGCATATATTCAATTATTTATTTTTATTTTTTTCTTTCTCACCAAGCCGTCTCTTTTTACCTTAAGAGATTAATAAGAATACAAAATGAACTTTGTCAAAGAATCATTATGCTACAGGTACACCAACTAATGCATCATGTTGGTGAAATTTCTTTTCTTTCTTCTTACGGAAAACATTGAAATCAACAAGGCCAAAACATTGGTAACTTGGTAATAACATCAATTATATTCATAGAAACCAATGTACAATGCAAAAGAAAATGCTAATCCCACTCCACAAAATAAAATTTTGATCTTTCATGTTTTTTCCTTGGTCGCTAAGATGATGGATTCCAAAAAAGGTTAAGAAATTTGGAATCTTACGGCTGCTTTGGTCGGTCCTGTGATGAATGTAGATTGTTTGTACACAACAATGTATATATCACAGTGCGATAGATACACAAAATTATTATACAAGCAATATGAGTTGGGGATGAAGTAGCAAAGGAGCATCTACAGTCGAATCTACACCAATGACTTAGAGAGGTGTTAGGTTCCATTTTTTTTTTTTTTTTTGCTTGAACTCAGGAAAGCTCGTATCACTTGAACCAATACAATGTTTTTTTGATTATGCAAAGAACCCACGACAGTCGTTTGCAGAACCCTTTTCTGCCCTCCCTGGTTTTTCACTCCTCGTTTCCATCCTAAAGATTTGTTTGGATAAAGTTCTTGTCCATTCTACAGATTATATCATCTGCAATCGCCTGAATCTCGAGGTGCTCTTCAGGCGATTGCAGATAGGTGGGATTCCCCCTTCAAGAACTGTATATGAGAATTTCGTTTCGTACAATTCAAGCAGAAACAACCAAATAATAGTTGCACCGCATACGTAATAGAAAGCATTGTCTTTGTGGTGATGATGTCAAAATATCAATTGGATGAAGTTCTTGCCATCATTCCTAGTTAGGTGGCGCGTGTTCTATTTTGTTGGACTAACTCTCTCTCATGCCCATGCTATCAATGTGCGCATGCACCGAGGTAGTTTGACAACAAAATGTACTAGTACCACTTCATGAATGCTAAAACGTAACCACAAGCTTCTATATTCAACCCTAGAAATCTTTATATTTTGTAATTCTAAAATTTATTCCACATAATTTCCCATTAAAAACAAGGGATCTCTCTCTCTCTCTTTCTTTTTTACCCACAAACCGATATCATTGGAACTAATTAGGTTTACCAATTCAATCACCCCACACTGGAAGTGGTGCAACATACTCCAAATTGACGAGAAAGAAAATTAAGAAAGGTAAAATATAACTGCACCATCAAAAAATTTCAACTCAATCAAGTTCCACTGATGTGGCATACAAGATTACCTAAAGATGTGCTTGAAACTATGCTTAGGCAAAGTTCATTTATCTTCCAATAAAAGTGAAGTGCAAGACAAAAGCGATGACAACTCTTCTTGTGTCGCCAATCCAAATCCTTGCCACCGTATTCGACCAAATTTGTCAAGCAAGAAGATATACCTGGATAGTATCAAAAATAGAAGAATGCACCTCATCACCAACAAACTTAATCTGGTTAATCATGACTGATAATACAAACTGAAAAGGTTCGGTACCCGGTGAGAAGGTTCAATATTTTAAGCTCTTTTCTGAAGTAATAATGGTCACCAAATGAATAAACAATCTGTCTCTGCAGGACACCCTCCCTTCCATCAGGGCTAGATTTCCTCATCATTCGAAGGAGTAACCTCTTAACCAGACTAAGTGACAAAAACCAGGAGTCTATAAGGGAGACCTGAAATGCAATAACTTGTTTCTTAATATATGGCATTATAGAAAGACAAGAATAATTAAACTCGTAAATTATTTAGTTACATACACCACTGAAGCTAAATGCGCATCAAAAATCATATTTGCAATAATTGCATTTGAACTTCGATGATCAACACAATAAAATATAAGATAATGTCACCTACAACTGGGCTTATTATAGATTTTGGTTATACAAAAAACTTGAAGGGTTAGGGACTTGAAGGTTAGAGGAAAGGTGTGTAGCATGTCATGGACACCAATTGGAATTGACTTCATCTTAAAAATAATAGGCTGCAGAAATTCAGAAAGGTGTCGAAATTTTTGGACAGCAAGTATTTTAGGATTTTTACCGTTAAAACTGAAGCCGATGGGTAGAGGATGGGTTTGAGGGTGAAATAATGGTTGTTCTATTACTGTAAAATAGATCACAAACAATAACTAAATGGGATAAGAAGAGAAACAATTTCATGGTCCAGTCCAATTAAACCAATACCAAGAACCACACTTAAAATGACAATCCATAAAAAATCAATACCAAGATCAGTTAAGAACAACGTGTTAACATAACTGTAATGGATGATCTGAAATGAATATCTTCGTATAATGGAAGAAGATATTCAAAACTATAGCAGGAAAATAATGAGATTAATTGAGAAAATTTCAATTAAACACTTAATTTACTATATGGACCCCAGATCCTAGGTTTCTAGCAATCAAATACAGAAGTTAAGACCTTAAGTATTATTTTGCAGAAAGAAGCAGTTCTAAAGCTCAGATATGCGTCAATCATGCTTGTCAATCCAAACTTTTACCACTGCACCAAGCAATCGTAACATAGCATCATAAAGTTGTTGAATATGTTTTTAATTATTTGAGTAAAACAAAAGCATAGAATTAAAAAGAAAAAATCAATTAAAAGAAAATAAAAGTTACTTACAATACCTCATATAGTTGAACTTTTCCAGAGTTACCGAAAGCATCAAGGAAAGGCACGCTCCAAGAATCAACCATCGACTGTCAAAGAAGAGAAAATTCCATGACAATGGCAAATAATGCAGCTTACTGGAAGTTCCAGAAAAATACAAATAAGATGTTTGTCCATTTTAGTTTAACCAGTGCCTCTGTATTCAAAACAACCCAAGAACACAAATAGAAGGTTTTTGTGTTTGTCACCTGTTTTGTTTCACAGAAGTTCCCATAAAAATGGGAAAGCATGAGCTTCGCAATGTATTAATGATCGAAATAGTATCCAATACAAAAGTAACCTCATGCTTAAGGAGACCAAAATCACTGGAGAATTTAGAGCCAACCAGCCAACTCACTGTCTCAATATAAATCATGCCACATAATTTAGCCCTAAAAAAATCATTACTGAAACAAAAAGTGCATGCTAGGGGATTGAAGAATTATTTTTATTTTTAAAAGCATTTGAATGCGGGATATAACCAACTGATAAGTAAATCGTGCAGAGATGACCACATTGAACTTCCATTCAGAATAGAACTCATGAGTCATGAGTGAAGAATCAGGTTTCTTTTCCCCTTTATTCTTAGAGAAGTAATATCAAGTCCTTGCACTCTTTTTCTACCACATAAAGCAAATGTTGCATTACATGAAGGTAGCAAATAGCAATAATGGCACCCCAATAGAGGTAAAACAACCACAGCAAACCCTGAGACAGATGAGCAGATTGACCACAAGTGTTATATGATATAATGCATTGTTCATTAGCAAATTTGCAGAGGGAAAAGGGGATTGGTTTGGGAACGCAACTTTATCTAACTTTATCTGATTTTTTGAATTGACCACATACTTGGGACAGCCAAAATGGTTCAACTTTTCGAGTATGTGGCCAAAATGTCAAAAACAAAAAATAAAAAATCAAATCAAATTTACCAGAAACCAACTAACCAAGGTACTTGTATGAAAATTAATTAATTATTTAGACAAACCCAACCATCTGAACTTTCAGCTGAAAGTTTCTCATCTAAATGTCACATAAAAAAAATATAATCAAGCAGCTTACACCTTATGAGAATTATAATAAAAAAGCATTCTTAAAGGATGAACTCCAAGAATGGGATATGAGACTAACTGAGATACCCGAATACGGCTTATGATACCTCGGCTAGAGACTCACTTGTGACCAACTCATGAGATCAACAAGCCAAGCTTTATTACATTTTCAACCTCGTTAGTTTTTTGAGCTTGGTAAGCTAGTGAATGTCTGAAGGCCATGATGAAAGCCAAAATACTCAAGCCCAAAAAAATGGCTTGAGGAAAAGCCCACTTGAGTTCGCTCATGAATAATTAGAGCTTGTTAATTTTACGACTCGAGCTTGAGCAACCCACTTCTCAGCTCACTAACAGGCTAACAGCCCAAACGGGCTGGGCAAGGATGAGGCGATTATGGGACCCTAATTATTCTGCATTCCAGAATTTAAATACTAGTATTCTAGAATTGAAATGTAATTTACCACCATCAGTTAAGATCCCCTAATTTCCTTGTAAATAAAGATTTTGAGTGTGTTAAGTACAAAAATCAATTAATCATAATGAATCAAGGTTTTTCTCAAACCTGAGAGCTTGCTCGGAAGGAAAGACATAGTAAGGATGCCTGTGGGACATCTGATCTGTCAACAACATCATCTCCATTAGAAGCAATGGGCAGCTTAAGACCTGTACCGTCCGAGTAATTCACTTCTAATGCAGGAAACTTCACAGCTGCCATTGCTGGAATTAAAATCTTATTCGCCACTGCAATCTACACAAATTAAATTACCAAATTCAACTAACAGATTAACATGAAAAAACTTCATTATTGAGTTGATGCTATTTTTGGGAGCACCAAATCCACGGCTTGGATTGGGATTGGAGGAAATTTAGTTCATAGTTTGTACCCAAATCCAAAGCACCAATTCAATGCTCCCAAACGCAACATGAATATAATTATGATAAATTCGCATGACATACAGCAAATTTGATCAGCATTCCTTACCTTGCCACTATGTTGCTTGAGCTCCGACATGTCAGCGAAGTAACCCCTATTCATCTCATCTGAACTGCCCTAAATAACATATCCATACGGTATAATAGCTTAAACCCAAATCATAAATCATAAACTCTTTCAAAAGAGTATAAATAATGCAATATTTGTATTGAAACGTACAGCCGAGCCCGCTCTTTCTCGATAGCGGCTTTGTTTCCAATCTGTACGTAAACCGTAATCAGTAAATTGATAAATTATTCGACAAACAGTTTCTAATAAGAACTAGATATATAAACAGAATTGATAGAATTCAACCTGTTTTGTAATTGAGAAATCTGAGGAAAATAAAAGAAGCTCATTTTTTGAACTCTGTACGGTGGTATAACTGCTTAAATTCCAAAATTATTGACGGTGTAAGGATTTAGTAAAACTTTATATTTTCCTACCGTTTCTCAGCTACCAAACAGATGGATAAGTGAAACTGGGAAAGTCCAACAACCTGGTAGAAGTCAAGGAAGCGATTTGAGGTCCTTTGAGATGGCTGGTTTCGAGGGATGCGAGAGAACAGCTTATCTTCTTTAGCGAACAATGGCCGAGAACCCAAAATCGCTGGTGTGGTTGAGGCCACTCGCTTCAATCGCAACATCTTCGATTCGATTTCACTCTTACTCTTCTTCCCCGCCTCTCTCTCTCTCTGTAAAAGTGTTCTTTCTCTCTCTGCTCGCCCCTCGGTGAGCTGCAGAGGTGTCTGCTTAGCAGTTCGGAATTCGCACAAGGCCAGTGTATTGGGCCAAGCTACCGGGCATATTGTTTTATAGGCTCAAATGGTCCATGTGCGCTTTCCGTTTTGGGCCGTGCAGAAACCTTAAATCTAGCCTACCCAATGGCCCAATGGGTAAGTAACATTCCTAAATCCATTATGTATAATTGGTTGCTATGTTAGAGGCAGGGATTCATTTTTGCTTCCTGTTATGCACAAAATTAAGTAAGCAATACCAACTATTCTGACATGGACTTTGCTGGATGGAGATGAAGGTAATTAGTTAACTCCCCCCTCCTAATTTGGTGATCTCGAAAGTATGATGGGAACTGTGGAACTAGATCGATCTTCACTGTTTGGTTAAAGTTCCGGTTCAATATCCCAACGATTCCAGTTTCAGTTTCGATTTCTGTTCCGCTAAGAACTATATTGAACCGGATCATATGCACCCCTGATTTTAGTCCATATAATTTGATTGATTTTATAAATATAGAACAAAATATATCTAGAGCAAAAACTAAAGAGCACAGGAGATGAGTCTGAAAGTGTGAGCTTTTGTATTACTACTTTATCTCGGGATACACCTTTCATCACAATACACACACATATATATAGGCACTTTTTTCCCCATATTTCACTATTCTTTTCCTCCACTTCTTATTCACTTCCCACGCCTATACACACACACCATACATTTATTTCTTCTGATATCAATAAGCCTATATAATTGGTGTAAAGTAATAAATATGTGGACCCCATATCAACTTTTACAATACTCCCCTTTGGGGTCCATTATACTACATTGAGAATATGTCTCGTTAAAACCTTACTAAAAAAAACCTAATGGGATAAAAACTTAACGAAGGAAAAAGAGTACATTATTCTTGTGTATTTGAAAATGGTATTGCATAGGTTAAAACTACCTCATTAAAACCTTGTTAAGAAAACCCAATGGGAAAAACCATAGCGAAGGAAAAAAGAGTACAGTATGTGATAAGCGCTAAAAAGTGCGTATTTAAACCCCTTAAGCTTAGGCATTCTAGTACCTTTATCGATCTTACTTTACTGTTTTAGATTGATTTCGTATTATTTCCATTTTCAAGCACTTACCCAGAAAATAAGCTAACTTAGCCAAACAAGACCTTAATTGAAGTAATTCTGAGATGAATCAAAGAAAGGAGCCAAGTGGAAGCAAAAGGAAGAAAAAGGTGAAAATCAATATATTCGATCGATCTCAAATCAAAGTTCGATCGATCCAACATGATCGATCTCAGCACTTCAAGATGGATAAGAGCCATGATGACATTTTCAGAGATCTCAAAAGTTCGATCGACCCAACACCATTATTCGATCGATCGAACTGCTTTGTCCTTATCCAAATGATTGATCTTATCTAGTTGTACCACCCTACCAACCACTTTTGTCCTTTTCCCAAAAATATCTTCAAAATATCTCAGATTTGTTTTTATCCAAAAAGCGTTATCATTGAAGATCGATCCAGCCTAAGTTCGATAGATCTCAGCCAAGTTCAATCGATCTAAGTCTAAGGTTCGATCGATCGAACTTCCTTCAGTGCGAAAAAGCTAAAAAGCCAGCTCATTCAAGTTGTCTTGTATCCAATCATTGGGGAATATTCTTTGCATGACCCCAGCTCATTTTGTGTGTTATCTGACCTACCTATATAAGGAATATGATGCACTTTTTGAGGGAGCTTCTTCGAGAATTAGAGATACAACCTTAAAGGCAATTCTTAGTGTAGAAGAAAAGAAGGAGGAGGCTAGAGACACAGGGGGGGAAGTTCTTCATCAACAAGGAGCAGATTTTTTCCATGGAGTTAGCCCTTGAAGGTTGGAGCAACATCATTATGAGTGGCTAGACATCTTCTTGGGGCTAGAGTTAGCCCCAAGCATGCTTTATATATCTTGATTTTGTGTATTATTGAGGGATTAGTGTTGTAATACATGTTTTGACACTTATATATATATAGATCTTGTTTATTCAATGATTTATGTGGTTTAATGCTTCCAATTGATCATTTCATTCTATCCATATTTTTATGTATGCTATAATAGATGTTCATGTGTTTGTCCCTATTTATTGTGTTATTGATGCATGTCTATGTGTGTTGATGCTATAGATTTAGAGATTGTCAAAATATAGTGCTTAATGGAATGCTCTTGTGATTTTTTAGATGGTCCATGCTCATTTCTTGATGGATTGTGCCTCTCCCTTAGCTTAATTAGTTTAATTTTATGCCTTTAGCTTATTTGTAGTGTAGGGGTAGCATAGTTGTTAGATGGGAGGACAATCCATGTTTGTTGTTTGATGTTCCATACTTTTGTATGCAAGAAGCATATGTCTCTAACCTTGTGGTGTGTTTGGTTTATGAGCTTAATGAAAAGATTAATGAATTACTAGATATATTGTGCTTTTCACATGCTATTTAGATAATATATACTTAATTGCTAAATATATTGTGCTTTTCACATGTTGATTAGACAATGTATGCTTAATTGGTCAACCTTACTAGTTGCATCAACCAAACACACACACATATCAATATTGCAACATACATTTCCCTCATTAGTCACTTGTTAAGGGTGTAGAAAAACATTGTTTGGTGATGACCTCTAAACCCCAAGAGCTCTCTCTCTCTTACTTACTCTTTGTTGCATTCAATTATTTAGTTTAATTTGCTCTTTAGTTTAATCAACCAACCAACCATTTGTTTGATCACTCGACCTACTAACCTTAATAGCGATTAAACAACCAAGTACGACTTCAATCCCTTGGGACGATCCCTACTCACCCTAACTATATTCTTAGTGAAAGTAGTATTGGCTTCTATAAATGTAAAACTTGGCCCTCGCTTTAATGCATACTCTTTAAGCTTGTGGTAGGACGACGACATACCTACCAGTATGTGTAATACCTTAATTTTAAAAAGGCTATTCCTGGAATTTAATTTATTATTTATTATTTGTTTGCATTTTATTTGATTATTTGCGTAATTGTTTTGAGGATACCAAAACGACCCGGGTTTGAAGTGATCCACATTGCACAGGATGGGTCGGGTGTGGACGAACAGGATGAAGCCAGTTCGCGCTGTATGGGCCCAGGTCCATAAAGCCATTTCAGAAGCCCATGATAGAACGAGAGAAATCGAGTCCAGCCAAAGGAGAGCAGGAGAGGACCAGCTCAATGGAGGTTGTAACAGTCTATAAATAGAAGGGATTGAGAGGAAAAAGGTGTTGAAAAAATCATTGAGAGTGTAAAGTTTCTCTCTCTACAATTAGGGAAAAATTCTTTGTACTTTTAATTGGGGCCGTCTGTGGGAAGAACAGGAAGGATTGATTGATGTCATTCCAGATCGGATCGATTGAACGCATTCTGCGAGGAAGACGATTAATCTGCGAAAGCTGAATCAACATTGGTGATAACACGATCTGTCTTGACGAGTCTAGGCTCCGGTTGATTTCGAAAAATTGGCGTCCGATCCAAGCAGATCAGATCCGTGCTTGATCCGACAAACTGCGCAATTGCGATCTGTTGTGATTACTGAATCCGGCCAGTAGCGGACTGAATTCAGCAAATGTAAGTTCAGATCTGGTGTGCGCGCGTTAGCGGAGCTCCGATTTGGTCAAGAAGCCTGCAGTTAATGACTTTGCTCCGATCTGGAATGATGATCGGAGAGGCAAACTCGAATCCTTTGGAGAACGGCCAGTATACAAAGCTCGATGAGCTGATGAACATGATCAATGCTTTGAGGAAAGAAAATGCAGAGCTACGAGCTGGAATGGAGCATCGTGAGGCTCTTGCAATTCCGAGGCCACCTCCTGAAGGAGAGGGAGCTTTACCGTCCGAAGCTGATCGTCAAGGTGATCCAGAAGATGTCAATCGTGGTGGTCTATGTCGTGATGAAGATATAATCGGTAATCTGCCTCTGAATGTCGGCCGAGTAGAAGATCGGGAAGGATCTGTTCGTCTGGAACCACATCACAAACGGATTATGAGGGAGGAAGCACCGGCGTATGAACATCGGGTTGCGTCACCATGGCGAAGTGAATTTGCGGAGGATAGGTCGTTCGATCCGCCATACCGACCTTCATTAGCGACAGTTGATTACAATAGCTCGGAAAGGAGATCTGCCGATCGAGGATTTCTGTCACGGTTTTCAAAAGAAAACGAAGCATTGCGTTCCTTAGCAAGGACGGTCGCATCGCCGTTCACTGATGAAATCCTGAACGCACCGAATCTGAAGAAGTTTTCCATGCCGATCTTCATTCTGTTTGACGGAACAACCGATCCGGTCGATCACATATACCATATTCAGTTGAAAATGGCTTTGAATACTAATAATGATCCTTTGATGTGCAAGTGTTTCCCTACGAGCTTGGCTGGACCAGCTCTCTATTGGTTCAAGAATCTGGCTCAAGGCTCAATCGCCAGTTTCCAGGACTTATGCGATAAGTTCATAAGCCAGTATTACGAGAATAAGCGTCTGGCTAAGGATGTATCGAGCCTTTTTACAATGAAGCAGTATGAGGATGAGCGGCTCCAAACTTTTCTCACCCAGTTCAACCTCGTTAAAAGCATGGTAATGGAGTGTCACCCGTCAACAGCAGTCCAAGCATTTAAACTCGCAATGAACCGGGGGACGCCGTTCCACACCAGCTTGGTGGTTAATACGCCAAAGACAATGGACGAGCTGAACAAGAGAGCTGACGATTTTGTTCGCCTCGAGGAGGAAGAAGCAGCTAATTCAAGGAAGACGTCAATTATTTCGACGGAGGAGAAGTCCACAGCCAAGATCCGGCAAAAACAAGCTCAGCTGCAACGTCACCCCTCATGGAAGGCGGAGAAGAGGCCCAGGGAGGAGGAATCAGTTACTCCACTCAGAGTCACTTTAGCAAGGCTATACCAGGAGAACAAAGATAAGTTTCGTCCTCCTCTGCCAATCAGGCAACCTCTTGAACAGAGGGATCAGACTAAACATTGTGCTTTCCATAG